TACACTATTGATCCCATGTTTGGCCTTTTTGTTAGACCCATGTAGTTCCTCCTTTTCCTTGGCCTGGAATTGAGAACGAACTCTTGGTAGACACCTCTTGTACCATAGTCCATTCTTGGGCGGTGTAGGTACAGGAGGGGGCCCGTTGCTTGATGTGAATGGGGTGACCTTTGGCCGGGTTACTCAGCACAAAAAGCCCGGGTCCTTGTCAAGGAGTCATAAGGAGGAGCAAGGTGATGGGAGGGCATATTTCATTGTGTTGTTGCATATATGTACTTTTATATGAATTGTGTTGTGGATGGAGAGATATACTCTTTTTATGTGATATATCTATTAAAGTACCATTTATTTCTTAAACTATATTTAAGCACTACTTCACCAACTTACCATCCTACTTGTATATGTCATAAATTAATTTTTGGTTACTGGGACTTTACGTCTCACCCCGCTGTTCACCAATACTTTTCAGGAGAGCCATCTAGTTTGGCTCGGCGTGAAGGGAAGCAACCAGAGGCATAGGCGAGTATAGCCTAGTAGTCCTTTTCTGGTTTAGGCATGTAATGTTATGTATATTGCCATCTTAGGGCCCACAACTATGTGACATATACTTTCTTTTGTTTGGATGACTGTATTTGATGGAATGCTGTTAAAATGGCTAAAGGCCATAAGACTCTGCTGTATGTGATACTCTTATGTGTATGACTTGTGGGCTGGGATAGACACCCTATGTTTCTTGTGCCCTAAGTCTTTGTAGAATGAATATTATGTTGGGCTTGTGGCGGTTACTGTATCCTGAGGCTTTGTTCTACGTTGTTAAACCCATGGGTGTTTTATGTATCCGGAGCTACTTGGGACGTTTTCGAAATAAGTCAAACTCTTTATAACCATGGTAGTATTTTAACACTCTAACTCAATTCTTTTTCTACCATGGTTATCATTTTAAAAATAGTTTTATAATTATGTATTAAGAAGAGGTCTTTTCAGCCGGCCCGATGGGCTTGGCTCGTTTTGACGGCTCTACCTAGGACGAAGCCTTTTATTAGAATTTCATAAAAAGATACTTAAATTATTAAATCCTAAATTAAGTTTGATAATAATAGTGGAATAGGTTTTGACAACACTAAACTTATAAATAATAATACATTTTTGTTATATTATTTTATTTCAAATTTAGTAATTTTAAGTTTTTTTTTGTGAGATTTCCTTTTTTTTTCCCCGACTGAGTCAAAAATGAGCCATCTTTTTCATTGCCGCTTGGTGGAAGAGATTTTAACTTTTTAAGAAAACGGTTGATTAATTGAATCTTATTAAATATGAAGAATTATATTATGTTAACTGTTAAGAATTCCATAAAGTGAAGCTTATCAAAACAGTTTTTGCTAAAAAGGGGGGGCCTTAAAAGCTTATCAAAACAAAAATGAATTCTATGAAATGAAATCTCGTTTTTTTTTTTGGTCAAAGATGAAATCTCGTTTAAAACATGACAATGTTATACTAAATATTAAATTATATGGATATCATAATCCTTGGCTTTTCATATTCCACGCTCCACAATCTTTCTAATGAATATTTTTTAGGAGTTTTCATTTCATAACCCAAAATTACATATTATGCACTCATGTTAATTAATTTCATTTATTCAATATAACTCTTGATAAAGCTAGAACCCTATAAATAAAAGGTTATGTAATATACAATTCTACCATCCAAGTAAATAAGAATACACTTCCTCCTTCTCTCCAATTCTCTCTTACTCATTTCTCTAATTTCAAATCTCTTTTATATTTCCTTATTTTCCTAACAACAATTTATTTTTTTTCCAAATTTTATCACCCCAGCTCGAAACCTAATTTATACTACATCTTGTCCTTAATATTAGAATTCAGAACGAAATAGCTAATTTATAAATATTAAAAAAATTACGTTAAATTAATTATTTATAGTATATGAATAGTCTTTCTTAAAATGCTCTTATTAATCATATGCATTTGAATTATATCTTAATAAATTCCTTAACATGTACAATCACCATATAGAAATTACTTGAGGGCAAAATAGATAAATATTATAAATAAAATTGATTAGAGTCTTATATTTATGATTATGACCAAATTGATCTCAACTAACTTTTATATTAAAAACCGAACATAATTTGAGTTGGGACAATAATTTATTGATGTTTGATGTTTTTTCTATATACCATTAGTTTATTTTACTAATATTTATAATTTGAATAAAAAAATATAGATGTTTTATTGTTATACCTTTTGTTTTAAAATAATTGAAAAGAATTTAAATTTTAAAAAAAAACATAAAAGGGCCAACCTTTTTAAACTCTAAGCCAGCATATCCAAGAGCCGAGCTTTAAGAATATGACAATTTTTAGATATACGGATTTTAAAAAGCCATCTTTTTAGACCCTATCTCTTGGAAGGCCAGCCTTTTAGGGTCGGGATGGCCGTTATTGATCATTCTAATAAATATACCTTACACACTAAAACATATACCATATATATCATTTTTGTTATTTTAATAGGCTATTTTTGAATATTATTTCTATTAAATTATTTTTATAACTAAATGCAAATATTTTTATATATTTCATATGAATTATATTTTTTTTAATTATTATCAGACTGATTCTAAAGCAATTTCAATCCAACTCATTAACTCATGACCTACTATTTCAACCCGTCTACTAGCCAGTCTAATTTTCCTAATTTTCAATAGTAAATATATAGTGACATGTTCTGTTTGTGTGATTGTCTATGTTCCCTCCAAATAAATTCATTGGTTTCACCACATTTATGTAAAAAATCGAATTATATGATTTTTTTAACTAATCAAGAAAAAAAAGATAAAGAAACAACATTAAGAATAAGATGAGAAATCAATTAAAAGAGAAACAATGTCCTGGCAATTGATGAGTATCATATAAATTTTTTTAACTTAAGTTTAATATTCGATATAAAGTTAAGGGCAATAGTCACATCAAGCTGTTTATATACATTATATCAAGTTCTTTAATTGTCAGTTTTGTTTTTAAAATATTAGCATCTATAAGAAAAGGATAGATAATTATGTGTGATTGAAAAATTTGACATAATAAATATAAGAAATTTGATCTAAATATTTTTGGGAAAATAATGATTTTTTAGTGTGTGCATAACATATTCTATGTGTGTTTATGTAAAAATTATCTCATTTAAACTCTCAACCTTAACAAACTATATACTAGTATTTAGTAAGAGTATGAACTCATAAATTTATAACTGATATTATCTTAAACTGTAATTTTATCACCTAAAAAAACTATATATTTATATTTATACTTTCATGTATTCTATAAGATTTGAAAAACAAAATACTCCTTTGGTCCTATTTATAACACATAAAAAGAAGATATTTTTTTTGTCCTATTTATAGGTATTAAGAAAATTTTTTTTGTATAGATATACAATTTTACTCTTCATTTATTATTATATTGACTTTGTTTATATGAGGTGTAATATATATTAAATAGGGATAAAGTTGAAAAATTGTTAAATTTTAAATGAGAGTTAATAAAGTTTAAAATTTTTCTTGGTTTGTGTGAAATATGTTGAAAGTGAGAGGAGTATTATTTTTAAATTATAAATAAGTGATTTTTTTGGATTTTAATGCAATGAATTGGTCGCACATAATCTGGCAAATTTCGATTTCCGAGGTGTGATAATTAATTGCTAAAATCAGCACACCCAGCGTCGGTTATCTGCTTATCCAGTTTAATAAAATATTTATTATTTTATTGGATTGATTAATAAAAGAGATTGGATAAATAATATGTTGGGATAATTAATCTGCAAGTCCTTATAATTTCAACTAATTTTGAATCAAGTCTTTATAGTTTTTTTTATCAGGTCCTTATATTTCATTTGTTTTTAATTAGGTCCTTGTATTTATTTTTCTTTTTATCAAATCCTTATAAGTTTACCTTATTTTTAATTAAGTTTTTGAATTTTTTATTCTTTATTTTATAAATTCTAATAGTACTATTCTATAAACATAAAATAGAATTTATTATTTACTATTATTCTATAAACATAAAATAGTATTTATTATTTACTATTATTTTATAAACAATAACATTATAAAAATAATGAATTATTATAATAAGTTTATTTTTTGCCAGCAAAAAAATATTAATTGTGCTAAAAAAATTTTCCTGAATTAATCAAGTATATTACTTATTTTTATTATTTAATTATTAATTTAATTTATTATTAATATTTTATATTTCAGTATTAATCTATTTAATTAAGTTTATATTTAATTAATAAATAAAAATTAAAACTACATGGACTTGATTAAAAATTTAGTAAAATTATAAGAATTTGATAAAAAGAAAAATAAATACAAGGACCTAATTAAAAACAGGTAAAAGTATAAAGACATAATAAAAAGAAAAAAAACTATAGAGACCTGATTCAAAATTAGTTAAAATTATAAGGACTTACAGATTAATTAACCCATAATATATTTATATGCTTATCCGATCTCTTTTTCTGGCCAATAATATGTTTATCCAGTCTTATACGCATTTAATAATCAATCAAATAATAATAATAATAATATCAGAAGGGCGTATCGCTAATCTCATGAGCATGAAGAATCAGTTATGATTGTTCGAGAATTAAGGATAATATTTCTCCTGAAACCTGTGATTATTTAACAGCTGTGCATTTGATTTTCAAAACCCACGGATCTAATGTTCTCCTAATAATCTCTCTTTCTCCTTTTCCTCTTAAAATTTAATTTTCATATAATATCATAATAATATATATTTCCATAGGATATTAAATGAAGATGATTGGGTGCTTACGTGGTATTTATTTCTTGTTCCGCAAATAATCTCATCACTGGCGGTAATTACGTAGTCACCTTTTCATCATAAGCCCCCGTTAATTATTACTTCATCCTTCTTTGTTTCGTCTTCCCCGTCTCTTGTGCGTGTGTTCACAATGTCGCCGGAATCTTGGGTTGTTAGGAGTCAGCCATTTTTCAACTTCACCTCAAAATTACCTTACAATCCGTCAAGGAGAATGTGGTGGATGAGTGTTTCGGCGGTAAACACTGGCTACCTCCGATTTCCCTCCACGTCTAAACGTAAATGTATGGGTCCATGCTCTTTCAGAGGCCTTCTAGTTTCAAGGTATGAGAAAGATGGGAAGCTGTTTGACAGAGTACGATTGAGATGTTCAGGTCGAAGAGATGCTTGTTTGCTTGGTGAAAGTTCTTCTTCAAAAGCAAATTCGAACTTCATTCAAGAATTACTCAAGAAGGGAATCATTCTGGTTGCAACGGTTTATGTATGTCGGCGAGTTTTAACGGTTGAAGGTGTGGAAAAGGCAAGATATGGGGTTATTGGACCAAGCACTGCATGGCCTAAAGTGGCCAAAGTCCTTCAGGTCTTTAAGGACCAGGGTTTGACACTGGCAATCCTTTTGGGTCTTTCAGCTTTCTTCTCAATGGCAGAGACTTCCATTACCACCCTTTGGCCTTGGAAGGTATCTTTCTCTTTCCTCTCCCAATATAAATATGAAAAAGGAACGCCGGTTTGCTATGAAACAGACTTAATTTGGTCTGGTTGATCAAAGAAACCTCGCAAAGGGTGTACGTACACATATATATATACTCCTTCGATCCTAATTATAAGACCCAATTGACTTATTTGAGGAAATTAAGGAAGTAAGTTAAGTTGGTTATTTATAATAAATAAGTGTTGTCATTCCTAAAATATCCTTGCTAATTAAGTATATTGGCTAAAACTATCATTATTAGAAGGATTATCTTGAAAAAAATGCATAAATATAAGAGACAAAATGGATTGGGGTCTTATAATTAGGACCAAATAAAAAGTCAAATGGGGTCTTATAATAAGGACTGGAGGAGTATATTCTTTTCTTTACATTATTGTTTAATTTGTCTCCTTCATAAGTTAAGCTTTGAAGCCTGATCATGGTTAATCAAATTTTGTACAAGGTCTGTGAATTGGCTGAAAAGGAGTCTGAAGATGGCGTGTTCAAATTACTTCGGGCTGACGTCACTCGGTTCCTTACCACTATACTTATTGGCACAACGTAATTCCGCTTCACTGACTTTGGTAGTGAAAATACCATTCATATTTTCTAATTTGAATATGATATATTTTTCTCATTTTAGCCCATTTTCTTGTGCTCAGTGTCGTCAATATTGGAGCAACTGCTCTGGTCACAGATGCTGCAACTACAATATTTGGTGAAGCTGGTCTTAGTGCAGCAACAGGAGTGATGACAGTATGTTTTGCTACCCCTAATTTCTGTTTACTTGAAACATTAAACCTCTGGTAATGAATTTGCTTCTGTATATGGTATTATGCAGAGATATATTTTTTATTTAGTCTAAGTATATGTTTTCAGCAAGTAACACCCTCAAAGAATTTTTTTTAAAATTTAATTCTCCCATAAATATCTAATTCCTTTGTTCTCTGCATAATCTTACAAGGTCGCCATTTTGCTTCTCACTGAAATTACTCCAAAAAGTATAGCTGTTCATAATGCCACAGAGGTGGCTCGGTTTGTGGTAAGTTGTATATTTTCTTCTCGTTTCTTAAAGTATTATGTAATGTAATCTTTGGAAATTACGCACTTATTCCATGATATTTCTTCTTTAACTTCTTTATGTGACAAATATTGGTGGTTCTGATGCTTGTAGGTCAGGCCAATAGCATGGCTTTCCCTCCTATTGTATCCTGTAGGAAGAGTTGTCACTTATCTTTCAATGGGGATGCTGAAATTGCTCAGCTTAAAGGGAAGAAGGTTTGCAGAAAAGCTAGTCAGAGAATGATCTTTTTCTTTCCATATTATACCCATTCCTAATAAATTATGCAAGGATTTATATGTTTAGACTGCTGGAGCATATGGCATGAGGCAGGGGAAAAAAATCTTATTTTTATATTGTGACCTTCACATATCTTGTAGAATATTTGTTTAATGAGAAAAAACTTGTCATTATTTACCAACTTATTTCTTTATAACTTTACTTTCATATGGCCCAAAGCATGCATATTCAGCCTTTAGCCATTTTCAAGTCACAAACCTGCTAAAATTATCATTTCCGGGCTCTCTTAGTAGATCTTTGAGGTTTTACACTAAATAGTTGGCTTGATTTTCATCTATCAGTGAACCATATGTAAGTGAGGAGGAGCTAAAATTGATGTTAAGAGGAGCAGAGTTAAGTGGGGCAATAGAGGAGGAAGAACAGGTAACCAGAACATGAAACTTTTAAGTGGCCGTATAGCTAAAAAAATGTTGTCCTTTTTGTAACTTTTTTATTTTATGTCCTGTTAATGATTACACTATTATATGTCCGTATAAAAAAGCTCTAATGTTATGCTTTTTTTAATTTATTTAACCATTGTATTGCTAATTTGTTATCCAATAAATATCTTGAATGAAATTATTCTTCTCAGGATATGATTGAAAATGTGTTGGAGATAAAAGACACACATGTTAGAGAAGTTATGACACCTCTTGTTGCTATAGTTGCAATTGATGCCGGTGCTACCCTTGCTGATTTTCATCACTTATGGCTTACTAATCAGTATTCAAGGTATAGAAAAATTCTTCACAATGATTCTGGTTTTCTTCCACTTTATAAAAATTTTAACCTGATTTTTTTATAGGATACCTGTTTTTGAGCAACGAGTAGATAATATAATTGGTATTGCATATGCAAAGGATCTTCTGGATTATGTTCAGAAGGTTGGAAAATTTTAGTCCTGCTATATGTTATGTGAGTTCCTTTATGTATTAATTGCATATCCCATCTCATACTGCTCATAATTACATTCTGTTTGATTTTGAAGGGTGAGCTACTAGAAAGTACTACCGTCGGAGATATGGCTTGCAAGCCTGCATATTTGGTCCCTGGTAACTTATTTCTGCAGAAGTCATTTTCATTTATTTTATTTGTGGCTGCTCACTGCTGTTAACATTTCCAAATATCATGCAAAAGACTTTTTCTGTGAAAATTGAAATGTTGATATGTTCTACTTAATGGATTACCTTACAAAATGATAGAGCTGGTAATGCGAGCTGACAGTGTGGACTAAAGTAGCCCACATCTTGGCATGCTAGCCCGAGCCCGCCACTAAATTTTTTTAAAAAAAATTATTATTATTTATATAAATTGAGTTTAGTTTGTAATGTTGAAATTGGACTTGGAGTTTTAAACTTGAGTAGTGAGTTATAATAAAATAATGTGATGATTAATTTATAATTTGAGAAGATATTTTAGAAAAACCAATACTTATTTTTTCTAAATAATTAATTTGACTATTTTTCTCATAAAAATTAATTAAGTAGATCTTTTATGTGTCTATTACATATGCAGTTACATGAATGAGGAGATGTAAATGTGAAATTTGAGTGTCAAAATTCTCCAATTATATTGTATAATATATTAGGAATTGTATAAAAATAAAAATAATTTTTTTTTTAAAAAAAGAAAAGTGGGCTAACCTGTGGCAAAGCGGGCTGAAAACAGTGCAGGCTAGAGTAGCTCGCACCTTGGCGGGTTGGCATTTTACCAACCCGAGCCCGCCATTTTTGGCGGGCGGGCCCAGCCCATATTACCAGCTCTACAAAATGATCAGTTTATGTAATTTGATTGTTTAGCTTGTCAATAGCTAAATGTTAGTAGAAACTTAGTTTTCCTCATTTGGTTCAATCAAGAACAAGCACAATCCAACCTGAACCTGTCTAATCTATTGGATTATTGCATATTTTGCCATCCTTGATGCCTATGAGAATTCAGCCGACTCGTACAATTTAAGTAGTGAATAGCATTATTCCAATAAGCACAATCGCTTTTGACTTTATTGTTAAAGTCCATTCATAGCCTGTGTCCAGTAAGCATGTAAAATTGTAAATTGATCTAAATTTGTGGTCCAGTGAAGCAAGTTTCTTTATTCAGACTCTTGGAAATATTTCTCTACCATAACAGTGTTTCAGAAAACATCATTTCTGAATTCTGATTGTTTGCTGTAAGAAGACATCTATTTGTGTTTAGTTTATTCTAGAATATTGAATGAATAAACTCCAATTATTGGTTTTGCAGATTCAATGTCTGTCTGGGATCTGCTTAGAAAGTTTCTAATTCAAAAGATTCACATGGCTGTTGTTCTTAATGAATATGGTGGAACTGTGGGAGTATGTACAAACCTTACCAGAAGCCAAGTAGTTTTGTTTGTTTGCATTGAATCCGAATATGTGTTAGCATTTGATCCATTGTAAGATAGACCACTAGAACATGCTCTGGCCGTTGGTTGTTTACTTGGTCGATTCAATGTAAATGTAAATGCTAATGAAATCAACACTAAGATTGTTGCATTAATGAATTGTTTCATGAATAACTTTTAATTCACCTGAAACTTCATACTCAAACTACAAATTCTTCAAGTTTCTAAGGCCCACATCTATACGCTGTTCACATCCATCTGTAGCCTTTATCTCTCCTAGTTTTTATTACAGTTCATGACCAATTTCTAATGACAGTTTCCTTCCAATGTTATGAATTTATTTTAATTAACTTGTTCATTATGCTTCTGCTTTTTAATGTTTCTTAGTTCAGCCTGAAGGAAGCTTAATATATTAATATAGTTAATTAGATGTGCTTAAAATCTAGATTTTTTTTTGCATAAGTTCTAATAATTTGACAAGTTAAATTTATTTGGAATTTACATGTCTTATTTGTATTGAAATTGACAGATTGTTACTCTCGAAGATGTTGTTGAAGAACTTACTGGTGAAATTTATGATGAAAAGGACTCAAAGGTAAGACTCACTATTAATTCTTGCCACATTTTTAGTACGGCTGCACTGCAAAGCCCATTTTTCATCATTTTCACTCACATCCTCATGCTCTTTCTATTTACATGCCTAACAAGGGAGGTGCTTTTGGCTTCATTATAATGTTCTTCTAATGATTTCATGAAAAGGACTCATTGGTCAGACATGCTTTTCCTTCTTTACAAATACCTTGCTGTTGCAAAGAATTATTACAAGATTCATGTGGAAAAAACTTTTCATTCATTCTTCCTTGGTTATATGACAGGAGGAGATTCAAAAAAAATCTGGTTCCATTGTTATGCGATCTGAGGGAGTATTTGATGTGGATGCAAACACATCTATAGCTCACCTTTCTGAAGAATTGAAAATCAAGATGCCAGAGGTTTGTCCCATACATGCAGCATTAATTTGATTTACTTAAAAGTAAGGCCAAATTACACTATTGTCCAAGAGAAGCAAGTAAAATAGTTAAAATAGTTAGATTTAGTCATCTCTCAAAGAGAAGCAAGTAATTTGCATGTCAAGTAGGACTTCTAATGCTTACCCAGCTTTCTTTTCATTGCAGGGCCACCAGTATGAGACAGTATCAGGCTTTGCATGTGTAGCATTCGATTGCATCCCAAAAACTGGTGAGACCACCAAAGTTATTGTTGAAAAGAAAAATGATGACAACAACAATGAATCAGATACTGAACACCAGGATTTAAAGCAAAAGAAGCTGACAATCAAACTTGAGGTAATCAATGAGCAAAGAGTTTTTGCCATTTGTCTCTGCATTATGCAGTCTGCGGTCTTAGAGATGAGTTGTACTGATCTTAGCTAAGCTTATGAAGAGTGTAATTTGCCGTGGGTTATACTATCTCTGGTCCTAATTATAAAACCTTGTTTGTAGACTATAAACGAGGTCTTATAATTAGGACCAGAGGTAGTATATTTTGCACATTGATATTGATATGGAAGCTCTTTTCTAATATCCAAGTTGTTTCTCTTGCAGATTCTAGCAGCAAATGCTAGAAAAGTGAGTGTTGTTCGGTTTGAACTGATGAATAGTGATGAAGAAATGTCGGAGGCTGAAGCAAAAAATGCTCTCTTTTGGAGGAGATTGAGTTTTGGTTCCTTCTCTTCTATTTGGCATGTTGTGCGTCCTTTTTGAACACTAAAAAGGATGTTGTGAAAGGTTGAAGACAAAATAAAACTAGCTTAGACCACTATGCTTCTTACATATATCAGTATGAAGTAAATATCTACAATCAAGCTGTGGAATATCAAAGATTAAGAGATCTCCATATATCATGAGGCATCTTCATTATTTGAAATGACCACAATTGCATTGTGATTGGATTTATTTACGTAACCTTTTTTTTTTGACAACACTAATACACTTTGGAAGAAGCAATAACAGTTGGAACTAATGCAACGCATTTGATTGGTTACCATCTTGGCCAGACAAAGATGAAGGCTTCTCAAATCTCTCCTCATGCATAGACATAATAGTGCCAGAAGAGTATCGGCGACTTGGTTGAGGTTTAGGATGATCATGGGATCCCTTGTAAATTATCTCAGTGATCTGCCCATCATGAGAACGTTCGAACAGCTTTTTGACCTCACAGTTAGGATGTGTACATTTGTAATAGCAGCGTGGAAATTCACTCCCTTTAACATGCTTCTGCCCATATTTTCGCCAATTATACCCATCATCAGATGTTCTCTCAGCAACTGAGATAGCACTGTCTTTCACTTCGACTTGTGAAGCTTGAAGCCCATTAGCTACATTGCCTCGGGGGTTAGAGCCATCCATATCGGCTTGAACAAGAGCAGTAACATCAGAACAAACCATTTGGACAGGTGATGATAAACTTAATTCATTTGACGGCATTGCCATCTCACTTTTCACTAATGGTGATGAAGCAGAAGATTGAGCTTGGCTTGAACCTTGTGTTTGCATAGATGGTCCGTTTACATGGCTGTTGAAATCTGTGGGAGCCTGACATTTAGTGAATGAAATTGAGTAAGCACAAATAATCTTGACAAACAATAACGAAATTGTAACATGAAATAGACAACCAAACTTGTTTCCAGCTGAGCTTCAGACAAAGGAGCTAGAAAACCACAACATCAAAGGGAATGATCTAGTGAAATATGATAGTGTCGTCTATAGTTAGATATTTAATTAGACTTCACATCCCGTTAAATTTAGTACGCATATTAAAGCACAGAAGAAACCCTAGTCCATATATCCAACAGATTAAACAAGATATGTTCATCACCGTATTATTAAGATCAACAAATATTCCATTACCATATTCGATCTATTGTTTGAGTTAAACTCAAAGAAGCTAGATATTTTGTCATCAACAGTATTGGTTTTGAAGCGTACAGTGGTTACAGGATATGTGGCAGGACAAACAGATTCTTGAACAGACAGAGGTTTAGTAAGAGACCCAGTAGTTGGTGAAGGCTCCACCTGCAGATTAAGAAAATAAGTAACAAGAAGTTACAGTCCTTAGAGGGCAGCAATTGCTTAGTTTAATAGAACACACAACATGCAGGGAAAGCACATTTAGTTTCATGGAAAATAAAATGAAACGGGAGGGGGTCATGTTTAATAAAAGAAATGGCCAGTCTCTCAATACCAGCAAATCCTTAGGCTCCAAACATCAATAAAGGAATCAGCAAAACCAGTAGTAACCTCACAAATATTATGCATATATGCCCTCCTGGGAATACCCCACAAACTTCCTGTATTTTTATCCAAAGTGAAAAGGGAAAGGAGAGAACATGTATAAATGTCTGAGATAAGCACACTACCGAGCAGATTTATAAGCCAGTTAAGGCTCACAATGTTTGAGCAAAGGAAAATTTATTTTTCTTCTCTCAACACGTTGGATGTCCACAGGACTAGATAAACATAAGACATGTGGTGTGGTGGTTATATAAATACAACTGTGAAAAACCACTCAGAGACGAATCTCGCATAGAATTCTGCACAAATTAAGGCCATCTAGACGATTAACATCTAGATAATTATGTCCTTCAAAAAAAAAAAAAAACTTGACCCACAATCTTTCTGACATTCCTTATACTATTCTCAGGGCACACTTAAAAAATCAAGCCACTAATCCTTAAATGCATTTATTCTTTTATTCCAAACACAGATGGAAGATTGATTTTCAGTATAGCCTACTACACCGTAAACAACAGCTAACAGACAAAAAGAGGAAGCACCAACAAAAAGGGAAGATTCGTTATGTGAAAAAACAACACTGACATTAAAAAAGAATGTTGAGCGATCCTTAGAGCAAGTCATATTCCAACGAATACTATATCGGGGATAGGGCATAAAGCAGCCAACACATAATTCTGCGAGAGAGCAGGCATCAGAATCCACCGGTCCCAACACAAGCGAGCACCAATATATAAAATCAATTAATTGAAAGGCCAAAGAAAAAAAAGCCAACTCAAAGAAACAATCGCCACGAGAAGAAACAAGCAAATACGGTGCACTAACAAGAACATCGAATTTTTCATTAAAGAAGGAGCATCTTAGCTCATCAGCATTTAAATCACGTCACAGAAGTAATCAATTATTCCTTCCACAGTATCATCCTAGAGGTGAAAAGCTTGCGAGGGAACAATTAGAGCCCAGCAAAGCAAGTCATGGACCTAGATACGCTCTGTTTGGCCCCAGCCTATAAGCAGGAAAATTGCCGTGAAAATAACAGATTCTCCAAATGTCACTCATTATGTAATAACAGTATAACAGGCTTTTATTTCTCTAGAGTCAACTTATTAACAGTATAACACTATCCTTTACCTCATTGAGCTGGATAAACACATTACACTAACGACTTTACTTTCCCGTTATTATTCTCAGTAGCCAAACAGAGCTAAAAAAAATCTTCAGTCTGTCCCACGCACGCACTACATTATCAAGCCAAAGGGGGAGAACCACAAAAGAAACCTAAAAGAAAGAAACCAGAGCTAACCTTGACGTTGGAGAGAAGCACGGGGGAGTCAAGAGTGTGTGTGTGTGTGTGTGATACAGATATATGCATGTCAAGACAAACTTTGCTTGCAACAGCTCAACTCACAGGCAATATTTAATTTATGAGGCTAAGGCTATATTTACACATAACTATCAATGATCAAGACACATTATTCAATTTAACTTCACAGAGTCTAAGATAAAGAAAAGATAAATCAGATTGATCTTAAATTTAGGATGGGAAGAGTATTTTTAATTTTATATTACTCCTCTAGTCCTTAATATAGGACATAGTTGTTAAGTTAATTTTAATCTTAAATATAATATCTATTTCTCATATTTATTATTTTTTTCTAAATTATCCTTATAGATACTTCCTCAATCATAATTAAACAAGCAAGGGAGGGATGATACTAAGAAAGATGATCATAGTGTTTTAGAAAAAATATGTCATATTACCTCCGATCCTGATTATAAGAGTTAGTTGACTAATTTGAGGAGATTAAGGAAATAAGTTAGTTAGTTATTTGTAATAAATAGATATTTTCTTTCCTAAAATATTCTTATTAATCAAGTGTGTTGGCTAAAATTACTATTATTAGAATGACTACTTTGGAAAAAAAAGAACATAAATGTGAGACACAAAAGTAGATTTGGGTCTTATATTCATGATCAAAATAAAACTCAAACGAAGTCTTATATCAAGTACCAGAGGTAGTATTTTTTATAATTAATTAACTTGTCTAATCTTATTAATATAATTAAATTAGTTAAATAGATTTTATATTAAGAATGAGAAAGATAATAATAATAAATTGACTAAATCATCAACGGGAGCAGGCCGGCTTGAAGATTCTCTACGGAAGCATAAAAGAGGAAATACATGTGGTACGGTATGGAGAATAAATAATATACTCCATTGAGGGATAAATATATTTGAATAATTAATTTATAGATATTGAAAAAATTAAAAAATTATTTATTTATAATAAATGCGTGTTAGTTTATAGAAGTAACATATTTAATTACAAACAATACTTACCTCAAATTTGTTTATATCTATCATGTTAAGTTTTATAGTTACATATGACCACGTGTTTTATTTTTGAAATATTAAAATTTAATAGCATTTAATTATAAATTCACATAAAATAAAAAAACATATAACTTTGTGTGGTTGGATAATTTGACATGATATATATAAGAAATTTGAACTAAGTTTTTCCTTTAATTATTTGTAGGTAATCGTGCATACAACACATTGACCCTTTTCTATGTGCATCCCATAGTGATGATACGTCATAAAAAAAAGTTAGTGTACTGAATGCATCAGAGAAAAGGGACTGGATTACTAGATGCATCTTTACCCTCATCCGTATTGGAAACTATCTGGATGAAAACTAACTTAATGGAATTGCCTAAGAAAATTATAAATTTATAAATTGAGATTACTCAAGTAGATTTTTTTTCGCGGTCAGGTTATTCTAGTAATTGCCAGAGAGAACAATAATATAATACTACATTTGATCCTAATTATAAGAGCTAATTGACTAATTTGAGGAGATTAAGGAAAGACGTTAAGTTAGTTATTTGTAATAAATAGATGTTATTTTTCCTAAAATATTCCAATTAATCAAGTTAGTTAAAACTACCATTGTTAAAATGACTACTTTGAAAAAAAAAAACACAAATATTAGAGATAAAATAGATTGGAATTTTATATTTGAATCAAAATAAAATCAAACGAGATTTTATATTAAAGACCGGAAGTAATAGTAACAAAAGTGAAAAACCAAAGACAAAATATATAAAAGTAAACTAAGCAGAGTCCTTATGAGATTAAGAAGAGATATACACGCACGCATATACATGATGGGGGATCGTTATCCATCATGTCTTGATCCATCACCAGTCTACATGTGCGCGTATTCTGAATTTATTATCACAGTGTGGGCACATACGTATTTTTGAACCGTATTCTACAAATTCACTTTATTGCATCAACAACTACGATCAGTATTATGAGTAGCCACCCTCGTCAATATCATTTTTAGTTTTTAATATAAAACTTAATTAATTAATTTGAAGAAATTTAAAAAACTAAAAAAATTATTTAATTATAGCTTATAATATATAATTTATCCGAAATACTTATATATATCACTATATTATATATCACTACCTCCGTTTCTTAATATAAGACTCTATTTAATTTTTATTTTGATAGCCCTTCTAATAATAAGAGTTCTAGTCAATACACTTGATCAGCAAGGATATTTTAGAAAGATAATATCTATTTATGACAAATAACTAGCTCAACTTACTTTTTAATCTCTTTAAATTAGTCAACTGCTTTTATAATTAAGACTGGAGGTAGTAGTTTACAAGTCAGATTAATTAATTAGTTAGGCTTTATATCATAAATAGCACGTAGTGTACTCTCAGTGATTCCAAACGGCTTATACGTAACTTGTTCCCCTTTGGCTTGTAATTTAAGTGCAGTTGACATATTACTTGGCGTCAGAGTATGCATGGGAATATGTGACCTTTTTCCCAGTTCAAATTTCTAGTTGAGGTCATTGTGTTCCGAAACATAAGAAATTAAGAACATAATCCTACCTACATCGAACAAGTCCTTGGCGTTAAAAAATAAAAAATAATGAGAACGCGGGCGACACGTGAGGTCGTGAGCTATGAATATAATAATATTATGACAAACATGGAAATTTTACACAATTCGGTATTTGTCATTTCTTGAGGATGATTGAAAATTGACTCCCACCAAAATTGGTGAGTTTCTTACGCACTAAAAATCTGCTGCTGCTGCTACAAATTGAGTTCAGAAAAATGTTGCAGCCAAATGTTCGTTAACAGTTGACAAAAAAGGAGCATACAATGGTGAGTTTCAATATACTCCTCTGTCTTTAATACCTATTTAACTATTTGATTAAATCGAGAAGTGAGATAATTAGTTATATAGAAATATGACATTTCCTAAAATACCATAATTATCTTTCTTAATATCCCATCTCCTCTTCACTTGATTATAGTTGAGGGTTTCATAGGGCTAATTTAGAAAAAATTGATAAATATGAGATATGGGTCTTATATTTAGGACCAAAACCAATTCAACAATTGGGTTCTATATAAGGACCGGAGGAGTACACATTCCATCTTTAATATAAGATCTTATTTGATTTTGTTTTTCTAAATATAATATTCTAATATACTTTGTTTCTCATATTTATGTTTTTTTTTCAAATAATCTTTCTAACAATTATAGTTATATCAATATACTTAATTAACAAGAATATTTTAAGAAAAAATAATATATTTATTATAAATAATTAATTTAACTTATTTTTTAATCTTTCAAATTATCAACTGGTTTTTATAATTAGACTAGAGGTAGTCAAAAATAATTACTCAATTGTCATTGAGATTTTGGCGAGATTTTCACCATATCAAAGAGACTATAACTCCTGCTCTGTTTTTGCAGAAACAGAGCAATGGTTGGTGGTCCCTCATTTTGATCCCACATTTGATCATGTCTCTTTTCCTGTTGCCAGTTTGTAACTACCGTAGAACATTATATATATATAATATATATATATATATGTTGATTAAATAATGAGCCCCGGGGAACACGAACCATGAAATATGATTACATTATGATATATATATATATATATATAGGGTATACAAAGCGGGAATTTCTTACATTATATACATATAGATCACTGGAACTTACCCAAAAAGAGCATATAATCTGTACACTAGCATCACTTTCTTCTCAGTTTATGCCGATGGATCTGGACTCGTTCTTCAGTTCAGTCAACGTCGCCGCCGTCTTCCTAATTACGGCAATATCACTGCTTTTTCTCAAGATAGTACTGAAAGCCACCTGGAGATCATGTTCGCAGAAGCTTCCGCCTGGGCCATGGAGGCTTCCTGTGATTGGGAGTGTCCACCATCTGGCCGGCGCTCTGCCGCACCATGGGTTCAGAGAGCTGTCGACGAAATACGGGGCGGTGATGTGGCTTCAGCTGGGGGAAACGCCGACGGTTGTGGTGTCGTCGGCGGAAGCGGCGAAAGAGGTACTGAGAACTCATGATGTGATATTTGCTCAGAGGCCTCATCTTCCCGCCGCCGATGTTGTGCTCTATGGCTCCACCAACATCACTTTCTCTCCTGTCGGAGACCACTGGAAGCTTCTCAGAAAAATTTGCTCTCTAGAGATGGTATTTTCTTTTTTTTGCCTGACTCTAGAGATGGCATAGTGCATGATAAGTGCGTGCGTGGATGAGTATTTGGATTTTCTCTTGGGTAATAATAATAGAAAAAAATTAGTAATCCATCATATTTATGCATTATTGACTTTTTTTTTGGGTTGGATTATGTATTAGTTATATATGAATATTATATTTACTTATGAGTTATTACTTTTTCTATTTAAATATTACTCTTTTCTTAATTATGTTGACTTTGAGTTGAACTACTAATCTTTGAATCGTTATCTTATACGATTCATCAAGTCTGGTTCTTGTTACCTTGCTAATTTGATTATATTAAGAAAGTGAGATACATAGTATACTATAATAGATAAATTTATTAATTATACTAATCATGTCTTTCTAAAATATTTATTTATGACATTATGTTATATATCAATTTATAGGTTAGACAAATTTTAAAAAAAAATAAATATATGAGACATATTAAGAATAGGAGGGAGTAATTTTTATGATATGATACAGTGAGTGAATAGTAAATTTATGCTTCCCCTGCAACAGGTAAATGCCAAGCGAGTAAGATCATTCCAACCACTAAGAGAGAAAGTAGTGTCAAGTCTGATGACACAATTATCAGAACAAGCAAGATCTTCATCACTGGTGAATCTGAGTGAGAAAATCTACACCACCATCTTTGATATCACTTCAAAGGCAGCTTTTGGGGAGAACTACAAATCACGAGACGAGCTTTTCTTCATCTCTGAGATAATGTTGAAGTCATCAGAAAGCAGAAGCATTTGCGACATATTCCCTTCGCAGAATTGGCTCGCTGTGATCTCAGGAATGAAGGGCAAGTGGGAGACGATGCATCGCATGGCTGATACAGTTCTTGAGAAGATAACAAGTGGAGTTGGAGCAACATCATCTAAGGTTGTCGGAGGTGAAGCAGATTGTCTTCTTTCTGCTCTGTTGAATGCTAAGGAAGATGGTAGTCTTACATCAGACAACGTCAAAGCCGTCATGTTGGTAATTACTTAGTACTATTATTACTTTCTGCTTCTTGTTTCGCCATTTCTATATGAACACACATGGATCGTTATCTGTTTCATGATGATGTCTATATATACAGGACATGATTCTGGGAGGGACTGAGACCTCATCCACGATAATAGAATGGGCAATGGCTGAACTACTGAGAAACCCTAGATTGATGAAGAAGACACAAGCAGAAATCAGACAAGTAGTTTCCGACAACAAAGGATGTATCGACGAGACAACTCTTGAGAATCTAAGGTATCTTAAAGCAGTGATCAAGGAAACTCTGAGACTGCATCCTCCAGCTCCATTTCTGATCCCAAGAGAGTGCACACAGACTTGTGAGATCAATGGGTACACAATACCAGTTGGAACACAAGTTCTTGTGAACGTTTGGGCCATTGGGAGAGACCCTGATTATTGGAGCTTAGCAGAAGAGTTTTTGCCAGACAGATTCTTGAACCTTGCTATAGATTACAAAGGTTTCAACTTTGAGTACTTACCATTTGGTTCTGGGAAGAGGATATGTCCTGGGATGTTATTTGGTGTGGCCAGTGTGGAGATAGTTCTTGCTCACTTGCTTTGTCGTTTTGACTGGGAGCTTCCTTCTGGGACTCTTCCAGAAACCCTAGATATGACTGAAACTTTAGGCACCACCATGAGAAGGAAAAACCACCTGATTTTAATCCCCAGACGTTATTATAGTTAGTTAGTCTTGTACTTTTTATTAAATGATCACTTTACATGCTGATGAGACATGTCTTTAGTCTCATATATGATGAATTATGTCTCCATCCGAGTTCTGAAGTGGAAGCTAATAAGAAACATGTTTGTTTTGAGAATAATAATGACTTTGGTGGTTGTGAAGGATTGGTTTGAATGTTAATGCATTGTTTCACATTTTGTGCAATTTATTAGCTTGTAAAATTTAACTTGGCTTTTCATATCGCACCCTATTACTCAAGGGCCTTTCGTGCTTTTTTTATTACAATTTCAATTTTTTTATCTTAAATTTATATTAAATTTGTTTTCGGACACAGATTGTAGCCAATGTTTAGGCCTCGAAGTATTTGTTCCCCCCCCCCCCCACAGTAGGAATTTTCCGGGGAAAAAAAAAGAAGCAGAATAATGGGAACGAGACTTAATTACCTAATACTAACTGCGGTCCTAATTATAAGAGCTAGTTGACTAATTTGAAGAGATTAAAAGTTAAGTTAGTTATTTGTAATAAATAGGTATTGTCTTTACTAAAGTATTCTTACTAATTAAGTGTATTGGCTACAACTACCATTATTAGAAGGATTAATTTGGAAAAAATGCATAAATATGAGAGATAAAGTAATTAGTTATATTTAAGACCAAAATAAAAGTCAAACGAAGTCTATGTTAAGGACGGAGGTAGTAATTTTGTAAAATTGATTTATACATAAAATAGGGACATATTTAATCGCAAAATGGACTGTCGGAAAAAAAAACACACAAAAAAGAGCCATTTTGGTAGTACCACCTTGTGTGTATTAAAAAAAAGAAAGAAAGAAAAGCAGAAGTAGTTTTTGCTAAACATGATGTATCAAATACGCACTAAGCCATCAACCGTGTGAGAGTGGTAATAAAGGAGGGAGGAGAAAAGCTTGTCTTCGAGAGTTTGTTCCTCAAAGAATTAATGAGTTCAAAATTGTCATCATACAAAAATTAGGATGGAGGTAGCTATATATAAATTTGCCAAAAATGTCACCCTCATTTTCTGCTCTAATTTGAATATTTTTTATATGATAAATTTTTAGACACAGAAAATATTGATATTCTGCAGATTTTAATCACTCCATACACAGTATTGATACATCATTCATACAAATAGTTTTTCAAATTGTCACTAAAAAGGTAAATCAAATAAAAATAATTGTTTCAAACTAGTTTTATGTTTTTTTTAAAACAATCAGATTTTTTTTATAGATTTTTCTGAAAAGCAATTTTATAAAACTATTCTCTGAAAAAAGAAGAAGAAATAAACAGACCCTTTTTTCTTTAATTTTTTTCGCTTTTTGGTTTATCAATGGGTATTTTGACCAGGAAAACCTATTCTGCGCAGTTCAGCACTTCGGCTGCGTCGAACACTTGCTGATTGCTAACACAAGAAGCTCTTTATCAGCGAATGAATTATCTCCCCAATCAGAAATCCTTTATCCCAATACCCTGGCCCTCTAGCTCTTCAATCGTTGCCGTTGTTACCTCTTTACTTTTCCTGCGCAATAACTGGAGTTGAAACTCCGAATGGTCGAGATTCATAAAGCTCCTCATAGAGTGTTCCATTGTCTCTTCCCTTCCGTTTGAATATGTGTGTGTATATATATATTTAACATAACGAAACCCTATTTCTTCTTTGGTCAAGTTAAGCCTGAATGACCCTGCTTCTGTTGATCTTGTCATGGATTGGATAGTTTATACTGGGTGGTTAATTCTTCTATGAATTGACGCAAAGTGCAATAAGCTGCCCAAGGAGTACACATCAGCATCTTGCCTTGGGTCTGCATACATGAAGATTCACTTGAAGTATCAAGGTAATGTTCGTTTGAATTATTAATTATTGTCGTTACCAAATGCCTTATTCAATGGATCAATATCAAACTCATTTGTTTCAAATTCAGCTTTTTTTCTCTCTTGCACTTTAAGTTTTAGTTTTGTTGTTGTTATTGTCATTGTCGCAGTATCATACTTCCGGTATGTTCTGAAGTGCCGGCAACTCGATCCTTTATGGAAAAAGTTCTCATCTTCATCAAATGGGCCTTCTTCTTCCGATCCATACGAAAAGGTTGTTCCCTCTGTGGAGGGGAGAAAACAATATTATTCTGGAAATTCGCTTTGTCACAGCCAAGTGGTGGACGATGTATGCCGGGTTTTGGGGACTGATCCCTGGGGACCAGCTACTGAGAATGCACTGTCCATGCTTGTTGAAAAGCCTCAACCAGAAATAGTTGTTGGAGTATTAAGGAGGTTAGATGATGTCAAGCAGGCATTACACTATTTTAGGTGGGTGGAGGGAAAAACTGAACAAGCACATCATCCTGAATCATACAATTCACTTCTCAAGGTCATGGCTAGGAGCAAAAACTTCGACTTCTTGGAACAGATTCTTGAAGAGATGAGTATTGCTGGGTTTGGACCATCTATTGATACCTGCGTCGAACTAGTTGCCTCCTCTGTCAAATCACGGAAGTTGAGAGAAGCTGTTGGCATTGTTGAAATAATGAGGAAATTCAAATTTCGCCCTGCTTTTTCAGCTTACACAACGTTGATTGGTGCCCTCTCAGCATCTCGTGCTAATGAATCTGATCTTATGCTCAGACTTCTTCGCCAAATGCAAGAACTAGGTTATGAAATAAGTGTTCATTTGTTCACGACCCTTGTGCGTGAATTTGCCAAGGAGGGCCTTGTTGATGCTGCACTTTCCTTCTTGGATGAGATGAAGAGTAATTCAATCAATGCTGATGTTGTTCTCTATAATGTATGTATAGATTGTTTTGGCAAAGTTGGTAAGGTGGACATGGCCTGGAAATTCTTCCATGAAATGAAAGCACATGGGTTAATGCCTGATGATGTGACATACACTAGCATGATAGGGGTTCTTTGCAAGGCTGGGAGGTTGGAGGAAGCTGTTGAGCTGTTTGAACAAATGGATCTCAACAGGAGTGTACCTTGTGTATATGCTTATAATACCATGATAATGGGTTATGGTTCGGTTGGAAAGTTTGATGAAGCATACAGTTTACTTGAGAGGCAAAAGAGAAAGGGATGTATTCCTAGTGTAATTGCATACAATTGCATTCTTACTTGCCTAGGGAAAAAGGGTAAAATAGAGGAAGCATTGAGTGTCTATGAAGAAATGAAAAAGGATGCACCTCCCAATCTTACAACCTACAATATTTTAGTTGACATGCTTTGCAGAGCAGGAAAAGTTGATTCTGTTATGGTTGTTCAGGATGTGATGAAAAGAGCTGGCTTGTTCCCTAATATCATAACTATAAACATAATGATTGATCGACTGTGCAAGGCTCAAAGACTTGATGAAGCTTGTTCCATCTTCTTACAATTGGACCATAAAGCTTGCACACCTGATGCTGGAACATTTTGTTCTCTTATTGATGGCTTGGGCAGACATGGCAGGGTGGGTGATGCCTACAAGCTGTATGAACAGATGTTAGACTCTGGTCAGATTCCAAATGTTGTTGTATATACTTCTCTTATCAAGAATTTCTTCCAGTGTAATAGGAAAGAGGATGCACACAAAATTTACAAAGAGATGCTCCATAGTGGCTGTTCTCCGGATCTTGTGCTCCTAAATACTTATATGGATTGTGTTTTCAAATCTGGTGAAATTGAGAAAGGGAGGGCTCTATTTGAAGAAATAAAAACTCAAGGGTTAACTCCTGATGTTAGGAGCTATTCAATTTTAATTCATGGTCTTGTTAAAGCAGGTTTTGCAAAAGAAACTTATAAATTATTTTATGAGATGAAGGAGCAAGGATTGCATTTGGATACCCGTGCTTACAATGCTGTTATTGATGGATTCTGCAAGGCTGGAAAGGTAAATAAAGCTTATGAACTGCTTGAGGAAATGAAGACAAAGGGTTTCCAACCTACTGTTGTGACTTATGGTTCTGTGATCGATGGACTTGCTAAGATAGATAGGCTTGATGAAGCATACATGTTGTTTGAAGAAGCAAAATCAAAAGGTATAGATGTTAACGTAGTCATCTATAGTAGCCTGATTGATGGGTTTGGGAAGGTGGGAAGGATTGATGAAGCATATTTAATTATGGAGGAGTTAATGCAGAGAGGTCTGACCCCTACTATATTCACATGGAATTGCTTACTTGATGCATTGGTGAAAGCTGAGGAAATTGATGAAGCTCTTGTCTGCTTTCAATCCATTAAGGACATGAAATGTCATCCAGATGTAGTAACCTACAGCATTATGATAAATGGTCTTTGCAAGGTTAGAAAATTTAACAAGGCCTTTGTATTTTGGCAGGAGATGCAGAAAAAGGGGTTAAAGCCCAATACCATCACGTATACCAACATGATATCAGGACTTGCAAAGGCTGGAAATGTTTACGAGGCTAATGATCTCTTTGGGAGATTTAAGGCAAGTGGTGGCATGCCTGATTCGGCTTGTTATAATGCTATGATAGAAGGCTTAAGCAATGCGAATAAAGCAATAGATGCATATGCACTTTTTGAGGAGACTCGAATGAAAGGCTGTCGCATAAATGGCAAAACCTGCATTGTTCTTTTAGATGCACTGCATAAGGCTGATTGCCTTGAGCAGGCGGCAATTGTTGGGGCTGTCTTAAAGGAGATGGCCAAGTCCCAACATGCTACAAGATTTAATTGAGAACAGGATGTCTATACATTATTGGTCCTGGAAGAATAAGAAGTCTTTCTTTTGGACCTAAACAAATGCTATTTTCTGAGTAACATGCTTTAATGCCCTTTCTCATTTGCTCTGGCCAAGCAATTTGAGGGGAACATAGAAAATTTGTCATTTCCTCGGACTCATTGAGCTTGATGGTCTCACCCTTAAAGGTAATTCTTTGATATCTATTGAGGTTCAGAAATCGCTCATTGCTTGCAACTGATTTATGTATGGAAGAGTTATACTGCCGTCCTGTTTTAACTTTTAACTTTTAACATGTGGGTTCAAATGGAGTG